TGTAGTGTGTGTGTGTGTGAGCGAGAGAGTGTGTGGAGTGTGTGGTGTGTGTGTGAGCTGTGTACTCACCTAGTTGTTTTGTACTCACCTAGTTGAGGTTGGCGGGGGTCGAGTTCCGAGCTCCTGGCCCCCGCCTCTCACTGATCGCTACTAGGTCACTCTCACGAGCGTGAGCTTTTATCATACCTCTGCTTAAAGCTATGTTATGGATCCTGCCTCCACTACATCGCTTCCCAAAACTATTCCAATACTGATACTCTGTGGCCTGTAAGAAAATACTTCCTAAATCCCTGTGATTCATCTGTGTCTTCATGCTTCCAACATGTGTCCTTGTTACTGTGTCAAAATATCTCTGGAACATCCGTCTTTGCCACCTTGTAATTCCTCTCAGTATTTTGTATGTCGCTATCATGTCCCCCCTATCTCTCCTGTCCTCCAGTGTCGTCAGGTTGATTTCCCGTAACCTCTCGTCGTAGGATCATACCTCTTAGCTCCTGGGACTAGTCTTGTTGCAAACCTTTGCCCTTTCTCTAGTTTCTCTTCACGTGCTTGGCTAGGTTGTGGTTCCAAAATGGTGCCGATTACTCCAATATGGGGGCCTAACGTACACGGTGTGTGTGTGTTGTGTGTGTGTGTGTGTGTGTGTGTGTGGTGTGGTGTGTGTGTGTGGGTTGTGTGTGTGTGGGGGGGTGTGTGCGGTGTGTGTGTGTGTGTGTGTGTGTGTGTGTGTACTCTCCGTATTTGAATCACCTATTTGTGGTTGCGGGGGTCGTGTCACGTCCTGGCCCCGCCTCTTCGCTGATTGCTACTAGGTCCTCTCTCTCCCTGCCCCATGAGCTCTATCATACCTGCCTTAAAAACTATGTATGGTTCCTACCTCCACCACATCACATTCTAGGCTATTCCATTGGCTGACTACCTCTATGACTGAAAGAAAAATACTTCCAAACATCCCTTTGATTCATCTGAGTCTTAAACTTCCAATTTGCCCTCTTGTGCCCGTGCCCCATTTGGAACACCCGTTTTGTCCACCTCTCTATTCCGCGCAGTATTTTATATTCGTTTCATTCCCCCCGACCCCCCTGGCCCCCAGTGTCGTCGGGCCGTTTTCCTTTCAACCTTTCTTCATGGGAAATCCCCGTAGCTCTGGGACAGTCTTTTGCAAACCTTTCCCTTTTTCTCTAATTTCTTGAGTGTTGCTAGGTGGGATTCCAAACGGTGCTGCATCTCCAGTAGGGCCTGACGTAGATGGTGTACAGAGTCTTAAACGAACCCTTACTGGGTATCGGAACGCTATCCGTGGGTTTTGCCCGCCCTATGCGCAGCAGTTATCTGTTTATGTGCGCCTCAGGAATATGCTGGGGTTTTTTCTCACCCCCAGATTTTTTCTTGATGAGCTTTGCAGTCTTTGGCCATCTAAAATATTTGGGTCTGCGGTCTTCTTTTCCCTTCCCTAAACTTCAGACTTTTCATTTTTGGCAGGGGTTTAAAATTTAAGGGGCCGTTGCTGGACCCGGCTTGTAGCCTGTCCAGATCTCTTTGTAGCCTGCCTGTCCTCGTTTCCCATTTGATTCTTCTCATTAACTTCACTCGTCCCCCGCAAACAAGGACACTTCTGATCTTCCCTTCCCCTTATGTCGTTCAGATACCCAAAAAACACACAGGTCCTAGGACGACCCCTGTGGAACCCCGCTTGTCCGGCGCCCACTCTGACACCTCGTCGCGTACCATGATCTTGTTGCCTCCCTGCGATATCTCTGATCCATTGCAGTGCCCTTTTCCCGTTTGTGTGCCTGGTCCCCAGCTTTTTCAGTAACCTCTTTTGAGGGAAAATGTGCGAAACCTTTTTGCAGTCCAAAAATACGCATCGATCCACCCCTCTCTCTTTCTTACTTCTGTCACCCTTGTCATAAAACTCTAGTAGGTTTGTGACACAGGATTTTTTTTCCCTGAAACCCCCTGCTGGTTTCAATTTTAAAATTGTTTTTTTCCGGTGCTCCCACTCTTCTCCCGATGATCTTTTTCCCTGACCCTTTCTACTATACACGTTTGGTTTTAGGCTGAATTTTGTGCCTCTGTCTGTCTCCCCTTTTTTAAAAAATTGGGGCTACATTTGCATTTTCCATACCTCAGGGAGTTGCCCATTTCAAATGATGTGTTGAAGATCTTTGTTAATGGCTCCACAATATCTCTGCTCCCTCTTTAAGGACCCATGGAGAGATGTTGTCTGGCCCCACCCCCTTTTGAGGTGTCAAGTTCGCAAAAGGCAGCTTCTTCACCTCCTCCTTGGTTATATGTACCTCTCCAGCACTTGCTGGTGTGCCCCCCTGTTCTGATTTCTTGGAGTCCTACGGGTTTCCACTGTAAATACCTCTTTAAATCTTGTGTTGAGCTCCTGAAAATACCTCTCGGTCGTTTCTTGTGAATTCCCATCACCCTTCCTCATCCTGATTACCTGGTCCTTGACTGTTGTTTTCCTCCTGATGTGGCTGTACAACAGCTTCGGGTCAGTCTTTTTCTTTTGATGCTATGTCATTTTCATATTGTCTCTGAGCCTCCCTTCTTATCTGTGCATATTCGTTCTGGCTCTTCGGCTGATTTCTTTATTTTCCTGAGTTCTCTGTCTTCTGTACCTTTTCCATTCTCTAGTAACACCTAGTTTTTGCCTCCCTACACCTTTGGGTGAACCAAGGACTCGTTCTGTTCTTCCCATTATTTCTGTTTCCCCCTTTGGGGAAAAAACCTCTCCTCTGCCTCCTTGCATTTTGTTGCTACATAGTCCATCATTTCTTGTACTGGTTTTCCTGTCAGTTCCCTCTCCCACTGAATGTCTTGAAGGAAGTTCCTCATGCCTGAGTAGTTCCCCCTTTTGTAGTTTGGTTTTTCCCAGCCTATTCCTGCTACTCTCTCCACTTGGAGCTCAACTATGTAGTCGAAGCACAGAACCACATGATCACTAGCTCCCAGGGGCCTTTCATACATGATACCCTCGATGTGTGTGTGTGTGTGTGTGTGTGTGAGAGAGAGAGAAATGGCAAAACAAAGTTTACAAGATAATACCAATTGTAATAATTATTACAAATTGAATATGGTATTACTGGGCTATTAAGGTGGATGTATGATGCACATACAAACATTCTGTAAAAAAAATATATAAATTCTGATCTTAATAAAGCCGTAGGAAAAATTGACTTCTTTGATTATCGGTCTACAAAAGCTACTTGTTCACTGCAGCTTACAGTGGAGTCTCGAAGTCCAGACAAGCTGGAGTAAGGTTTGATGACAAACCTGCTATGATGCTCTTGACTTCAGTTGGTCTCTAGCTCACTTTCCATAAATTACTCCTACAACGTTCTCGCTTTACGTATAGGATGCGTCCACTGCAAGTAGTGGTGATGACACGTTTATTGTCAGTCGCAATGCCTAACTGAATTCCTTCTTTGATGTTTTCCAACGGAATTCCCCTCTTAGATATTTTCCAACGGAATTCCCTCTTGGATGTTTTCCCTCCCACAATTATCCCTACACACTTGATTGTGTAAGACAGACTTGCCTTCACCTGAAGCTGCAAGATTTGCACGGTGACAATTCCAGGATGCAGACTAGGATACACACTTGTCGTCTTCCTTTACTCACTGACGTTTTCTCCACTGACGAGTTGTTGCATCTTGTTACTTGCCTCCTCTTGGCTGTCGCTACGTACCTCGGTGCTTCCTCATATGAATAATTTAATATGCTTATTGATGTGCTTACGTCTCTGTTTTGAAAGCCTCTTGTAAATAAGACGCCTGTGTCTTATTTACATTCTTGTCGGTATCGAATACCATCTTTTACCCGTAGCGCCGCTACCTCTCTAAATGCATATTAACGGGCAGATAAAAACCTGAAATGGCTCCCTCCATGAAAATGAGGATTTTTTTTTGTTAGGTTTTATTGGTTGTGCTGGTACTGACTTACTTGGTGGCCATCTCATAATGTGCTATTAACTATACCTTTGGCTACATCACATCACACGACTTCAAGTTAGGTTCTATAACTTTTATGGAGCCGTACCGTACCCTTACTGTTATCCCTGTATGATTCTATTGAAGTTTGCTAAACTTAGATTTCTCAGCCTCTTTGCTGAATATAGAAGCATTACGTAGCCTCACTAAAAACTGCCAGCCTTTAAATGTACTCAGTATTTTCACGTATTTCCTGAGGAATCAGTACCATCACTGTCACCAGTATCATCACTGTCACCAATACCATCACTGTCACCAGTACCATCACTAGCACCAGTACCATCACTAGCACCAGTACCATCACTAGCACCAGTACCATCACTAGCACCAGTACCATTACTAGCACCAGTACCATCACTAGCACCAGTACCATCACTAGTACCAGTACCATCACTAGCACTAGTACGATCACTAGCACCAATACCATCACTAGCACCAATACCATCACTAGTACCAGTACTATCACTAGCATCAGTACTGTCACTAGCACCATTACCATCACTAGCACCAGTACCATCACTAGTACCAGTATCAATAGCACCAGTGCCAACACTAGCACCAGTACCAACACTAGCACCAGTCCCGTCACTAGCACCAGTCTTACCTCGTTCTACTAAATTAAACTGGGAGTGGTTTAGGAAAAGGATGGTCAAATTTAAGGTGGGCGGGGATAGATCAGGTGCTACCACTGAGGAAATGGTACGACACCTAGATCTAACCCCGCCCACCTGTGATTTGACCATCCTTTTCCCAAACCACTATCACCAGTATCAGTACTATCACCAGTACCAACAATAGCACCATCACTAGCACCAGTACCAACACTATCACCACTACCAACACTTATCACATAGTATCAACATTAACACCTGTATGAACACTAGCACCAGTAGTCTGTGAGGAGGCGGAACACAATTATACATAAGTGTTGACATATAAGATAGTGGTCTGCTAGGTGTTTGTATGGTATGGAGAGTGGTATATGTGGTGTCTTACCTTGCAGTAGCTAGGCTGCTCGTGCTACCTAACACCTCCAGTAGTAACAGTAGTGTTAGGTGGTCCACCTCGGGGTCTTGATAGCCACAGTACAAAGTAGTGTGAACTGCCTTGCCCCTCCCTCTTCCAGACCCGAGTTTCTTGGGGACGAGTGAGTTTTGACAGTACGAGGCGCTAGTGGGAGAGGAATCTGGTTTTCCTTGGTAGTGTGTGCGTTACAATGGTTTTATTATGCGGGTGTGTGAGCACTGGGTGAGGTTAAGGTTGGATGGTGCGGGTAGCGTCTCTGTGCAAGGGTGCGGGTGCCTTAGAATCCACTGGGGTGCGTGCCACCTCCCTAGCACTAGGAGCACTGGATCCTACACAGTGGTCAGCTTGAAGCTACACTGGATCCCTCCTGCCTGCCTATCTCACATCCTACCCCGGTTGGCTATCACTATCAGTTTAAGCATCCGCTGATGCACTTGAGAGCTCCCCGTTGCTTCAATCCTAGCGGTGTCAAATACAAAATAACAGACTCTTCTCCAGCGCCCATAGTAGTGCACTCTATTGATCGTCAAATGTCTGTGCGCCTCTGAACTGGGCTGCCAAATTCTTGCATTACAAAACTAATATAAAAAAAAATATTTTCTTCTTCCTAAATACCCATTATATAATTTTATTTTTTAAATGTAAGTTATCATTTCCTGGAAAGGAGGACAATAAGAGAGAAAGGTGTTGAGTGGAATCATAGAGTTGGTGGTAAACACCACACCAGAACTGGTGGTCAAGATCACGCTGGCGGCGCGCACATAGGCCTAGGCTCAACCAGTAAATAAATGCAGAGAGAGGTGGTTATAGGTTATGGTAGAGGAAAGATAGGTCTCTAGAGAGAGGAAGGTATGACTTGGCAACTCAACCTCCCGTCAGCTTACACCACCCGGTAAATTCAAAACTCGCTGTCGCCGCTACCACCATCCCTTATCTCGTGTGTCCGCTACCACCATCCCTCATCTGGTGTACCCACTACCACCATCCCTCACCTGGTGTACCCACTATCACCATCCCTCACCTGGTGTACCTATCACCCTCCCTCACCCTGGTGTACCCACTATCATCCCTCACCTGGTGTACCCACTATCACCATCCCTCACATGGTGTACCCACTGTCACCATCCCTCAATCCGTGCTTTCACTATCAACCATATTTTCCACTCCTTTGGATGAATTAGTCATTGGTAACTTTATGGAGCATTTGGTAGTAGTTTCAGCCTCGATGGCTAGCCAGTCCATTTCCTCATAGTTGACATCCCCCAGTGTGTACTTTTCTTGGTTGCTTTTCATTAGTTCTCTTAGCAAGTTGCGTAGTCTTTTGTTTACTGTCAAATTCTTATTTTTCCTATGTGATATTAAAAGTTAGGTTGTATCGATTTATAAATATAGGTTTATAAATAAAAGTCAAATAATATTAGTTTTTATTAAATCTATATGCATTTATACACCAACTCTAAGAATATAGAAGGAAGCACATTCATAAAAAGAATCTTAGTATTTTAGCGTAAATTGTAAAAGCTGGTATATTTCTAAAAGATATAACAAATACAACTATTAGTAGCTCCATGTACTAACACAAATATGCAAGGATAACCTTTACATTAAGGGTCTTTGGAAAGTTCTGCTCTTTCCAGTGACATTTCTCAACAATACCTACCCAGTGGTGTGGGTAGATATAGTAATAATAATATATGCGAAGACTTAGTATCAAAGCAACATTTATAGAGTAATGCAATATCTCTAGCGAGCAAGTACCACTGCCACAAAAGAAAAATGTAGTTGTGAAAAAAAGGGACTTAATCAAATGCAAGTTACATTATTAAAGTTTAAAAGCAATTGGTGCACATTTCATATGTGAAGTTTGTTTACTACAACACAGAACCACGAGTCTGACAACATTTCTCTCGTGCTTCACAAACTACATTAATCTCGGACACTGACATCGTGTGCCTGGCAATCTGTGTTCTCTCGGGAATCACAACACAGCAGTTTTGAGTATTGCAGATATGAAAACTTTAATGCAAAGGAAGGTGGAACTAGTTCAGGATTGTGCAGCTTCATTTCACTCAGCAGGAAGCTTGCAGATTTACAGGGACAATACACACGCCTGCAAAAACAACAATAGTACGTACATGCATGCATTTGATTCAGTTTTAACAGGTTGCGTATGTACAAGCATTCGGTTTAATTTTAACAAGATAGTGGGGAGTGAAGGAGGGGGCTAACATTTGCCATAGAGGATTAAAATACTTAACACATTCCAAACATTACTAGAGATGCATCTTTCAAAGGAAAATGAAATGTTCCTATTAAGGAGAAGCAGAGTTCATGATAGCAACATTCGAGTACAGTAAACGCGCGCGCGCGCACACACACACACACGCGCACACAACACACACACACACACACACACACACACACACACACACACACACACACACACACACACAACACACACACACACACACACACACACACACGATTGGGAGAACTTGGAGCCACATGGGGGCCAAGATACATGGAGGGCTAAGATGATGGAGGTGGTACTGGAAAACTTCATGTACCAACACGTAAGGGACACTACAAGAGAGAGAGGAGAGGATGAACCAGCAAGACTGGACCTAGTATTCACCTTGAGTAGTGCAGATATTGAGGACATCACATATGAAAGACCCCTTTGGGCCAGCGATCATGTGGTTTTAAGCTTCGAATACACAGTAGAGCTACTAGTGGAAGGGGAAGCAGGAAGGCCAGGACGAATGAAGCCAAACTACAAGAAAGGGGACTACACGGGAATGAGGAACTTCCTGAACAGGGTTCAATGGGAGAGAACTGGCAGGGAAGCCAGTTAATGAAATGATGGAATATGTAGCAACAATGTGCAAGGAGGCTGAGGAGAGGTTTGTACCCAAGGGTAACAGGAATAATGAAAAAGCCAGAATGAGCCCATGGTTCACCCAAAGGTGCAAGGGGGCAAAACCCAAGTGTGCTAGGGAATGGAAGAAATATAGAAGGCAAAGGATCCAGGAGAATAGGGAGAGCAGTCGTAGAGCCAGAAATGAATATGCACAGATAAGAAGGGGGGCCCAACGACAATATGAAAACGACATAGCAGCGAAAGCCAAATCTGACCCGAAGCTGTTATACAGCCACATCAGGAGGAAAACAACAGTCAAGGACCAGGTAATCAGGCTAAGAAAGGAAGGAGGAGAGACAAGAAATGACTGTGAAGTATGTGAGGAACTCAACAAGAGATTCAAAGAAGTGTTCACAGAGGAGACAGAAGGGGCTCCAGAAAGACGGAGAGGTGGGGCACACCACCAAGTGCTGGACACAGTACATACAACCGAGGAAGAAGTGAAGAGGCTTCTGAGTGAGCTAGATACCTCAAAGGCAATGGGGCCGGATAACATCTCTCCATGGGTCCTGAGAGAGGGAGCAGAGGCGCTATGTGTACCCCTAACAATATTCAGTACATCTTTCGAAACAGGGAGATTGCCTGAGGCATGGAAGACAGCAAATGTAGTCCCAATCTTTAAAAAAGGAGAAAGACATGAAGCACTAAACTACAGACCAGTGTCACTGACAAGTATAGTATGCAAAGTCATGGAGAAGATTATCAGAAGAGTGGTGGAACACCTAGAAAGGAATGATCTCATCAACAGCAGCCAACTTGGTTTCAGGGACGGGAAATCCTGTGTCAGAAACCTACTGGAGTTCTATGACATGGTGACAGCAGTAAGACAAGAGAGAGAGAGAGGGGTGGGTGGATTGCATTTTCTTGGACTGCAAGAAGGCGTTTGACACAGTTCCACACAAGAGATTAGTGCAAAAACTGGAGGACCAAGCAGGGATAACAGGGAAGGCACTACAATGGATCAGGGAATACTTGTCAGGAAGATAGCAGGACTGACCCCTGTGGGACCAGCAGGGTCCCACAGGGGTCAGTCCTAGGACCAGTGCTGTTTCTGGTATTTGTGAATGACATGACGGAAGGAATAGACTCCGAAGTGTCCCTGTTTGCAGATGACGTGAAGTTGATGTTAAGAATTCATTCGATCGAAGACCAGGCAGAACTACAAAAGGATCTGGACAGGCTGCAGACCTGGTCCAGCAATTGGCTCCTGGAGTTCAACCCCACCAGGTGCAAAGTCATGAAGATTGGGGAAGGGCAAAGGAGACCGCAGACAGAGTACAGTCTAGGGGGCCAGAGACTACAAAACCTCGCTCAAGGAAAAAGATCTTGGGGTGAGTATAACACCAGGCACCTCTCCTGAAGCGCACATCAACCGAATAACTGCTGCAACATATGGGCGCCTAGCAAACCTCAGAACAGCATTCCGACATCTTAATAAGGAATCGTTCAGGACCCTGTACACCGTCTACGTTAGGCCCATATTGGAGTATGCGGCACCAGTTTGGAACCCACACCTAGCCAAGCACGTAAAGAAACTAGAGAAAGTGCAAAGGTTTGCAACAAGACTAGTTCCAGAGCTAAGAGGTATGTCCTGCGAGGAGAGGTTAAGGGAAATCAACCTGACGACACTGGAGGACAGGAGAGATAGGGGGGACATGATAACGGCATACAAAATACTGAGAGGAATTGACAAGGTGGACAAAGGCAGGATGTTCCAGAGATGGGACACAGCAACAAGGGGACATAGTTGGAGGTTGAAGACACAGATGAATCACAGGGAGGTTAGGAAATATTTCTTCAGCCACAGAGTAGTCAGGAAGTGGAATAGTTTGGGAAGCGATGTAGTGGAGGCAGAATCCATACACAGCTTTAAGCAGAAGTATGATAAAGCTCACGGTTCAGGGAGAGTGACCTAGTTGCGACCAGTGAAGAGACGGGGCCAGGAGCTTGGACTCGACCCCTGCAACCTCAACTAGGTGAGTACACACACACACACACACACACACACACACACACACACACACACACACACACACACACACACACACACACACAGAGGACAGGAGGGTCAGGGGAGACATGATAACATATCTCAATGGATCCTGAGAGAAGGAGCAGAGGAACTGTGTATGCCGCTAGCAGTAATCTTCCATAAATCTATCGAAATGGGGCAGTTGCCTGAGGCGTGAAGATAGCAAATGTAGTTACAATTTTTAAGAAAGGAGACAGACAGCGTTAAACTACAGACCAGTATCACTGACTTGTATAGTATGTAAAGTCATGGAGAAGAGTGGTGAAGCACATTGAAAGGGCTCATATGACAATCGGCACGGCTTCGGAGATGGGAAATCCTGTGTCACAAATCTTAGAGTTCTACGATAAGGTAACAGAAGTAAGAAAGGAGAGAGAGGGATGGGTAGATTGTATCTTTTTAGACTGCAAGAAGGCTTTTGACACAATACCACACAAGAGACTGGTACAAAAATTAGAGGAACAGGCAGGAATAGTAGGGAAAGTACTGCAATGGATAAAGGAATGCCTGACAAGAAGGAAACGAGTGTTGGTACGTGATGAAGTGTCCGAGTGGTCCCTGTGTCGAGTAGGGTTCCACAAGGGTCAGTCCTGTGGGCGGTAGTCAAAAGATTACAAAGGTACATAGTGGGTCCAGGGACTGGACCCCAAAGTTATGATAGCTGAATTAGTTACAAAGGTAATGAACTCCAGGTAGATCTGGTCACAATCATGGCCTAGGTCCGGTGCTGTTTCTTGTATACGTGACTGACATGATGGAAGAAATAGATTCAGAAGTGTTGCTGTTTGCTGGTGTGAAACTAATGAGGAGAATACAAGCGGGCGAGGATCAGCTAAGATTGCAAGAGGATCTGGACAGGCTACAAGTCTGGTCCAACAAATGGCTCCTGGAATTTAACCCCAGTAGGTGCAAAGTCATGAAGATTGAGGAAGGACAAAGAAGACGACAGACGGAGTACAGGTTAGGGGATCAAAAGCTGCAGACGTCATTTACAGGAAAGGATTTTGGGGTATGCATTATAGCAAACATGTCTCCTGAGGCACACATCAATCAAATAACTGCTGCAGCATATGGGCGCTTGGCAAACCTGAGAATAGCATTTCAACATCTGAGTAAGGAATCATTCACGACATTGTACACCGTGTACGTCAGGTCCATTCTGGAGTATGCAGCACCAGTATGAAACCCACACTTAGTCAAACGCATCAAGAAATTGGAGAAAGTGTGAAAGTTTGCAACAAGATTAGTCCTGGAACTGAAGGGTATGTCTTACGAGAAGAGATTAAGGGAACTCATCCTGATGATACTAGAGGATAAGAGGGATAGTGGGGACATGATAATGACATATAAAATACTGAGAGGAGTTGACAAGGTAGACAGAGTTTGAACGTCTCAGAGATGGGATACAAGAACAAGGGGCCACAATTGGAAGCTGAAAACTCAGGTGAGTCGTAGGGATGTTAGGAAGTATTTCTTTAGCCTTAGAGTTGTCAGGAATTGGAATAATCTGGAGAGTGAAGTAGTGGAGGCAAATTCCATTCATGGAGC